TAAATTATTGCCCTTAAAATGACAAGAAAAAAGCTTAAGCAACACGTGAACACATGGTTTATAGGAGGAATAGGTGTCTTAGTTAATTTTGTGAATATGAGTACCTCAAATAGCGTTTCCTTGTATATGTTAATTACCCCTTAACAGGGCTCAGCCCCGATCCAAATGGTCTGTCACCATGCAAGCAGCCAGAACGTCACTGCCAAGGTTGTTCTCTAGTTTCCTTAGAGCATCCCACACCCTAACACTCATATCCAATGTCCTCCTTCCAGTAGAAAATTGAGTTGGTGTGGTTTTCTAGCATCCTCCTACACAGCCCTGGGCTGCAAAGGAAGCCAGGCCCATTCCCTGCCATGGGGTTCCAGTTAATCCAAGTGGATTATAGAGCACTCCCCTTGCTAATGACTGTTTTAGTCATAGACATGTGATGTGATTCAGGCAGGAGGAAAATTTCTGTTGGGGACTTTCTTGAAAAGCTTTATTAACTGTTATGGGGGAGGGGAGAGATGGGAGGTCTTCTTTTTTCACTGGCTATTGTAGGGTCTGGACGTTGTATTTGAAACTGCTGTAGAGATCTTGCCATCAGCCCGTGGCTAATGTCATCGCATGGGACAGGGAGCCTAAAGAGGGAGAGAGGGAGCCTGGAGGCTGCCCTACCTAATGTTGCGATAATAAATGCCCACATGGTTTGAGTTATGTTTTCTATTACCTGAAGCCAGAGTCTTCCTAACTGATGCAGGAGGTGAGGTGAGAAGGCTTCAGAGCTCTACCTTGGGACTCTGTTGTCACCTCAGGAAAATTCCAGAAGTCTACTAAAATGTGTCATGCACACAGGGGTGCAGACAAGATTCTAGGTGACTTAGGCTGCTTTCCTGTCTGTCACCTTTGGACAGTTACTGGAATAAGTGGGTGTTTGCATTCTCATACCGTAGTATCTCTTTCCAACCTTTCTTTCCCAGCCCAAACATGGGATTTTTTTTAGTTGATTTTTACAAAATGTCCTCGGACAAGAGAATTACTGATATTACACACTATTGATCCATGTATTTCCTATTCAGTTTCTTTGTGATGAAAATTAGGGAAAAATAGACCTTACAAGTTATTTTTGACCAGATCTAATCAAAAGCTAAAATTTCCAGTTTTCAAATGTGAAGAGATAGCCTTTATTCCTTGCCTCTTCTTTGTGGATTTTTTCCTTTGTGCCTTCACTCTGTCTTGACCATGACTTTCAAACTTTTAATAAATTATTTCCAAATGATTTCTGAATGATCAATACCCAGTACTCCTGCCAAAAGAGTCACAATATGTTAGATTAAGTCCATTTTATAAATTCATACTTATAATTGGAGGCCAGCTGCCACAAGTGACTCATTTCTCTAGTTTTACATTCTCATGTCGAGAGAATTCTGAGTCATGATAAGCAGTTGCAAATTTAAGGATTTTGTTTGTTTATCTAAGCAGGTTAGGTTCTCAACCTAAATAAGAATGGAAAGAAATACTTTATTCAAAGTCTGCAGAAAAGCAAGCCACCTTGGTCACACATTTGAAAGCTCCAAATATGCTAAGATCAGTATATGATATTCTTGAGTGTACATGTTTTTAAGAATACCCACGTTAGAAATATGCACTGTTGAAATGAAAATGATATACATTTTGTAACCCCCCAAATACCTAACAGCTTGAATTTGAAGACTACTGCTTTTCAAAATCATTTTTTTACAACACTTCTCATACCACACAGCAATGAGTAGATAACCTTTCAGTCTTCCTTGGATACAGGGATTCAGACTCAATTTTGTCTTTGTCCCTGGTGCTCTTACATTTAGGCACCCAGTGCCACTTTTACGTGGCTGTGCCATCCTTAAACCAACTGAGAGTTTCCAGGGGTGGTCTTCCTCCTCCACATTGTGTAGTGCCTGCTGCATTCACCAAATGGATTGTATTACTTTCCAGAAAATATTTATCTGCTTATTCTGATAATTTCAGTTGATAAAAAAACCAAATTAAAAGAGTTGGTCTTAAGATCTTAGGGTGCATATATGCCTACCCACTTACGATAACTTCTGTTGTTCTCTTAATGCATAAGATGAATAGATGTTCATTGTAGACAATTAGAAGGTACAGGAAAGTACCAAGAAGATAATCATTGTGAAAGATCTGCTTTTCCTTCCAGTCTTTATTCCCTGCATATATTAATTACATAAATGATGTCTAAATCCTGCTTTTTTTAAACTAACATATTGTGGGCATTTTTACTTGCCACTAGAAGGTTCTAATAAACCTAATTTTAATTGCTTTGAAAGTACTATGGTTTATTTAACCCATTGTTTATTGTTAGGCATGCAGTCTCTCTAATGTGCTTTTATAAATGATGCATTGATAATGATATGATTTTTCATATAATGTGTCAACCGTGCAAAGATTTATGTGTTTATAATAAATTATTTAAATAAGTACTGGGTCAAAGGTATAAATGTTTTCAAGGCTCTTTTTATATTTCTGCTTTAGATAAATTTATAAATGTACCTATGACAGAGGAGTAGTAGTATCTATTTGGTTGCAGTTGAATAATTGTGAATGCCTCAGAAAATGAACCCTTCTATTAAGAATTTTAGAATTCACATGGCATTAAAAGCAATGGTTAAGTTAGATTTATCAAATCACGTGGAGAACAGAATCAGGCCACCATGCTATTTAAGAGAATTGGCTTTCAGATACTATATCTGGAGTCTTAGTTCCTTGGGAATTCCACCAGCCAGAGTCTTTTGTATCCTTGGTTCTTGCCAGATTTACATGTCCTGAGTTTCATTCCTGTCTGATCTTTTCCTAAAGAGAAAGACAGAGAACTTGGCCAGGGACAAGAACCAGCACCCATATTTTTTGTCACAGATTGACCTTGGGATCTAAATGGAGGAATATAATCTTTAACATTTAACATATCATTAACAAAACTTTTTTAAGATCAGCCATGAGGAAAGTCTTGATATATTGGGCACATCATTTAGTTTCAAGGAAAGGATCATTTGTATAGAGAGAAATGTTGAAATTGAATTCTTATATATTTAAAAAATTTAACCTATTTATCCAGAGGCAGAAATGATTTGGGGCTTAGGAATAAAAAACACAGATAATTTGAAATTCATGCATTATTATTTAATTTAAAGTCATATCTTTTTTCATTTAGATCCTATCTAATTCTACCAGAAACATCCAAAGGGTTTGAGTGAATCTTTTTCTTTTAATGTAAAGAAATGCCCCTTTTTTTTAAATTTTTTTATTTTTTTTTAACAAATCAGCTTTTCACAGTGGTAGACTTGCAGCTGTTAACTAATCCTATAACGAGCGGTGTTTACCCATACATTTTTCAAATTAAATATGGGTATACGCAGGACTAGCTTAAGATCCTATAATACACACGCTTTCCCTGCTAAGGAGAAAAAAAATTAAAACCAAAATTGCCCTAAGGATTATATAAGCACTGAGGGAGAGATGAGAATAAAAAAGCCCGAGAGAGGGAATGTGTGTGACAATGTAGAATGTCCACTTAGGACAGGGATAGGAGGAGATTGCAGGGATAGTCAAAGAATAATGCAAGTGCCTAAGCATTACTTAGAAGATCTAATCAGTTATCCTGAACAAACCACGCTTCCATTAGCAGGCCCTGGGTATTAACAATTGCCTGAATGACAAGCACTGATTGTTCTTTGCTAGGAGGTGTTAGAATTTCTTTTTTTTCCAGAATTCCCGTGTAATTTCTATTTGCCCTTTTCTTTAAAATTATTTTTCCAGGTAGCGAAAGAACAGTTTTAGTCTTCGGTTTAATTGGGGTTCAGTTCAGTTCGATACAGTTTTTGAAGACAAGAAATTATAATTCTGTACTGAGCTAAAACTTAACATTGCTAGAATGGCTGGTCATGGCATCTCCCCCCTCCACTCCATAGCAGCCTGCAAATTTTTTGAGAATCCCATTAAATTTTATTCAGGAGTCTCTTACCAGCCAAATGTATTGTTTCCATGGCTACAATTAATGGGGAAAGCAATTTATAAGACTGATGTAAAAAAATGAGCACTTCATCAGCCCCCCTGCTGGTCACATTTAGACTGGAAGGAGGAAGTGGGCTCTTGTGGGGTTGGCAGAAGATCTGTGGTATAAAGGAGGCAAAACAATGAAAGCAGAAGTCACAATTGTCTTTTTAAGTGTAAGGAATTACCCCTGAAGACTTTATTAGGAGTTGGAAAATGCCACTAAATTGTGACATCTTTTCACACACTTTCTATTTACCGAATCCACTCCATGACAACCTTAGGAAAAAAAAAAAAAACACCAAACCCATTCCTTAAACAGACGTCCCTTCACCTTTAATTGCTAGAACAGGTTTTAGGGTATTTGGTGCAAGACACATAGACCCAAGATAGAATAAAAGCCTCTAGGAAATTAACTCACTAGTTCTTAACTGTCACTAATTTCCACCATCACATTTAAGTTTTAGGTGGTGGTATGACTCAATCATCAAAATTTCTCTTGGTTTGCATTTTTTTTTTTTTAGAAATAGATACAATGAAGTGGAATCAATATCAGCTCATCTCATTTTCCAGAGTAGCAAAGTGAAAATAAAAGAACTATAATGCAATTTCCCAGGTATTTAAAAATCCTTTAACTCTACACCCCCAGCTCAAGCCCAGAGCAGAAATCTAGAGATTTCTGCACACTATTCATAGGGCATTTGAATGACTATAAAATATTTTTGAGCCTACTCTAATTTGGGGAAGAAATGATACTAGAACAACTCTGTGTTCAATTTAATAGCACCATGCAGCTCGTGACAAAAAAAAAAAAATGTTGCCCTTTATCTATTTTTGTGTTACTGAAAATATTATGGGATAAGCCACCATTTAAGAAAAATAACAGAGCATGAACAAGCGTATTTTAGGGTGAATAAATACAGTTTAATTGCTTATGAGCAAATCCATTTTAGAAACTATTTGTTTATTATTTTCAGCACCATGCCATAGCTCTACTGTTTGGAGATTGCCTGAAAGAGAGCTGTTAAAAAGCTGTTTTCCCCTGCAGAGGGCAGCCTGCCTCTACAAAATACACCCAGGCCCTGGCAGCATTTGAGCGTAGAGAACAAGTATGTATAATTATTTTTTAAGCTGTGAATGTAAATAATTCTCTTTCTTTTGGATGAGGCTATGGCAAAAAAAAAAAAATGTTCTATATTAGAAAATTATAGATGGTGTATAACTCTGTGTGTGTTTTCCTGTCACCCTTTTATGTATTGTCTAGCTGACCCGTCTTTTTTTTTTTTTTTTTTTAAGATTGAAGGCATTTTTGAATAAGCATTGAGCAGCAAGAGAGATAACAAAGTCCCAACTGGAATGGGGGGAAATGGTAATCAGGAGAATAAGAGAAACATCAGGCCGGGTTGTAGATTAAAAATGTATTTATATTAAGAATGTGAGGTCCTAACAAATTGCACCGCGAATCCAGTGCGGGTAAAACATACACCCATGGATGTATGTTTTTAAATACAAAAATTAATTTTGGTTTAAAGAGGTTTCTATCAGGAGCTGGAGATATTTAATCTCCAAAGGGTGAGGAAATAGGTCTTTTTTTCCGTCATATTTCTCTGCTGTTTGATGCACGTCTCTGCCCGAGAGAGGGGTGGATTCAATAGCAGCCAGTTGTCCAGGGCAGAATCGGAACCTTTTCAGGGACAGGCGCTGGAATGCGTGTAACTGATGCCCCGATAAATACGCGACAACAGAATTCCCAAACAGTTCAATCTCCGTGTTCCTGGACGTTAAAGGAGACGTCCCGCTTTCTGCTGACCATGGGAAAAGTGCTCAGAGACATTGTTAAGGCTTATTTTAAGGGGATGTGTGAAAAAAGTGATTGAGCTGCCAGTGACCATTTCAATACATCAGCTTCAGTGGGCAATATAAATCACCTTGCTGGTATAGAAATCATGAACCCCTCCTGGAAAAAAAATATGATTTTTTTTTTTTGTTTATTGAAAAACATAAAAAAGGAACATGTAAAACACTCCTTAAAAACACAATCACTGACATAGGGGAAAAGGCTCAGAAACTCATGTCTTGGGACTATTACAGAAATCTGCGGCTCACACCGATTTTCACGTCGTGCATGCAAGTTTTGGAAATACCTTGGAGAATTTCTCTTTTGCTGCCTTGCCTGCTTATGGACATGCAAGCGTTTTCTTGGTTTCTTTTTTAAAGCAGTTTCAAAATGGGATTTTTTGTGTGTGTTGAGATGATTTGTGTGTGTGTGACGTGTGATTTATTTATTTGCTTTTCATTACACGTGTCTTTGTTAATGGGCAATTATTACATAGCAAGATAATGGGAGCATGGAATTTATTGTATCTAGATGAAGAGGAAGCACTGCAAGTGGTTTAATAATTTTTGAAACTTATATGTTTTTGGAGCTGGCTCTCAGATCATGCAGCTTTGTAGTCTGCGATTTATGATGGCTGCGGTGGAGCCCGGTGGAAAAAGAGCTGCAAAATGGCAGGACAGTTGCTTTAAGGGAGGATGGTGGAAAGGTCTCTGTCAGTTCCATTGTGAAATTTAATCAGCTTCCATAGAGTGATGTGATCTATCTTGTTTGCGAATTGTGAAGCCATTTTGAAAATATAAATTATGAACAAATCAAAATTTAAAACATGGGGACAGTCAGAACTGCATACATGATCATCTACATGTTTCTATTTTGCTGCCATGGATTTTCAGATTAGCAAGTTTATTTTAATCAAATGACCCATGCTGAATTGTATTAATATTGCACGTACAACCATGTTTGCTAGTGTCAACTATTTAGAAAGAAATTTATTTTAGCAAGTTTATCATGATCCCATAGCCTAGTCTACATTATATTGACAGTATTCTATCACATACTTGCCAAGACCAACCTATAATTCTTTTCCAGAACTATAAGATAAGTATAAAATGTTCGTATACATCAAGCGAGTTTATCTTTGAGGGGTATTTCTTTCTTTGTAGTCATTAACATTTGGGCACTGCTTTTGCCTTCTGATGTAAACAAATCTTAAACAGTTATTTGGGTCATGTCCTTTTGTTTCAAATGAAGACAATTTAAAACTCCTGGACTATGAAAAATTAAACGGGATTGCAAATGTACAAAGTACTGTTAAGGCATCTAGATATTTAAAGAGTTATAAAGTTGGATTGGTTATTTTTCCCTAAACATTGAAGACTTTGCACCTGTGAAATTCATGTGCATTTTATGTCATCAATATTGATACAACTGATGAAAATGGTACATGTTCCCTCTCATTCTCTCCTTATATGGATGGATGTGTGTGTGTGTGTGTGTGTGTGTGTATGTGTGTATGTATAAAATACACAATATCCTTTCTACAAATGATATGCTTAGTTTCTTGCATGGCTAGTGAAGTACACTTAATCAACTATTTGTAAACTAGTACCCTTGCCAAAATATGTTAACTTTTACGGTCGATCAAGTGCATCGTGCACACTATAAAATTCATACAACTGGATTTGCCTTGTTCCCCCTGACATCTTGGGAACAATGGAAACAGAGAAAAAGGGTGGGTGGCTTTTATATGGCTTGAAAATGTTAAATAATGTTCCAGCTTGCATACAGATGTGCTATTAAGCCATCTTAACATCTTGATTTTTTTTTTCAAAGAATTGTCTCAGAATTTAACGTATACCTTTAAATTATGAAAAAGCGTACTCAAAATCTTTTTCTCTGCCATCTCATGAAAATTCAATTTAACTAACTTTCACCTTTGATTGGAAAAGCAGAAGCGTTCAGCGCTGTGGTCACCCCTCTGTCTTGAGTCTGCCTTGTAGTGGGTTTTCTCGCCACCTTCCCCAGCTGAGTGCAAAAAACACAGTGGGGGAACTCTGATTTCCAGCCATTCTGTAGCTTTGCTGCTGCTAGACTCTTAATTCTGCTTGAGTTTATAATATTTGCGTTTGCTTTTATTACACCAAAGGCATTCCTTGGAATGCCTACTTACTTTCTCTCCCAGTTCCTTTCATTTGCAGATGAAAGGCAAATGCAGATTTAAAAAAATAAATAAATACAATGTGGTTGGGACCATTCATCACACTCCCCTGTCTGCTAGGTCTTTGTTTCTGTTTCATGCTGTGTGCATTACATTACATTTCTGAACCTGTTGTGAGGTGGTGTTTTTTTTTTTTTTTTTTTAGCATTTTGCTTTTGTAGTTTATTAAAATAAAAATATTTTCAGTCAGCAGAAATCCCATTGGTTCTTCTGGAAATCTTGCCCCACAGGCCTTCGCAGGACAAGAACAGATTGTCTGGGGCCTAATTCTGAGCCTTGTTTTTCATGAGGAAATCAAAAGTATAATTGTTAAAACCCAGTGTGTCCTTTTATGTCTGAAAAGGAGAATTAAATTGCTGGTGGCAAAGCAACAGGGGAGAGAGAGCGTGGATGCGAGGCAGGCCCTCTGGAATTGGGGGTTTGTTGTTGAAAGTAAAGGGAGAATGCACTTCAGAGTGTACCCAAGTGAGTGTGCATTTGGCAGGTAGATCACGGGGACCCAGCGAGCACAATGCAAGGGGAACTGAAAAGGAATAAATGCAGCAACATGGTCCCCTTGGCCGTTTAGTTTGCTGCTGTCAAATTCTTTCCTAAAGGTCCCAATTTGCAAATGGCGGAGAGGACGACTCTCTGATTAAAACTGTAATCAGAAGAGGGAATAGCAACTATCTTGCAGCTTCGGTCCCTTCTGGGATGATAAGACTCTTTCTGTGCTTGAGGGCTCTGTACTTCAGATGTTTTTTTTTTTTTTTCCCCAACCTTGTTCCTAAACAGGACGACTCTAGCTCCATTCACCTGTGCTTCCATTTTTAATTCTGGGGAGGAATAGCTTGAAATGTCGATTGCATTTGAGCTAATCTCACTTCAGAGAGGTGAGAACAAAATGGGGGTGTCTTGCTTTGGAACTGGCAGCATGAGCCATCGGGGTGTTTAAATTCAGTGAAGTTCTGAGACCAGCCCCAGAGCTCTGTCTTCAACAGGAATATTCAGACGATTTTGAATTTTGCCAGATGATTGATAGATAGCATTTTATTTTAGGGTGCAAATTGCAAGACAAAAGAGTCTGAAAACACTTCCTATTCGGATTTTAATCGGGATGTAACAAAATAGATTTTTTTTCTTTTTAATAACAAAAGTGCTGTGAATGCTGACAAAACCCAGCAAGTGTATTGTGGTGGACAAATGGTTAAAATATACACTCATTGGAGTATGAAGGCAGTTCTTCTCGGCTGTCAGATAGTTTGACCAGTGTCAGGTTATCCTGACGAGAGCAGCATACCTTCATTGCATCATAAATAAAACAGACAAATTACTTTTTTTTTTTTTTCCCTAGGATGGAATAAGCACCATGAGAGGGGAGGGGAAAGGATTAAGGGGGGAGAAGGGTGATTTGGAGGGTGCGTGGGGGGAGTGAAGAATTAGAGAGGAAAGAAAAAAAGAGAGATCATTTCAGCCCTTCTATGAATCTCGGCATGGCAGCCGAGAACAATGAGAAAACCAGGCAATTACCTAGAATCCTGTTCCCTTATCCAGACATAGAAAATATATTCTTGCACCAGCCTTCCTTCCGTCCCCTCCCCCCACTCACCCCCTCCCCTTCCTGTCTATCTAATTCAGTTCTTTCGAGGAAGGCCCAGCAGATGTAACAAAAGGAGAAGGCTTTCTGATGATGGACCACTCAGGCAGGACTGGAGGGCCCGGCTTTCCACGTCTGCAGCAGGAAACATTTTTTTTTTATATATATATATTCTGTGCCCTTACAGACTTGGGTAACCTCTGAAGCTGTAGCAGTGAAAAATGAGCAGAGAAGTATTTTATAGCCTGAGCTCTTTTCCTGATTCCCTGAAAATCAAGGGGCGAGGACACTAAATCACCCGGCCCCAATGCACCAAGCTGGACCTTGTCCTTTGGCCTCTGGAAATTCCGCCCCGAGGTGTGACTGGGAATTTGGGGGCTCTGAAATGGCTTCCCCCAGGAGCCCTCCTGAATTCCACCGAGGATTTCTGCTTTATTTCCCACTGAATCGGTGGAGTCCTGCAAGAAGTTTCCCCCTA